AGTATCCTCCTCGATATGAAGTTTTATCATTTTTAAACCACAGAAAAGAAGAAAATGTTGAGAAGTTGTTAGAAGACAAATCACATGTTAAAGGCATGAAGGATCTGTACACCGAGCTAGGATACACGTATGATAATGAATATGATGATGAGTATGATGATACATATGATACCATCAACGTTGGAGCCACTGATGCGGATTCAGCTGATGAACTAGCTGATGAAAGGTTTGAATAAATTACAATAAAATATATATAGTAGCGATATGAAAGATAATGCAAGCAGATTTCTGAGATGGATTATTTTTAATTGGAATAATTGAATGATAAATTTGTAGTGTTCTTCCAAAATTCTTTATATATTTTCCAGTGATTTTTTAAGTTTTTTGCTTTTACAGAGCATTTACTACTCCACGCATCCTGCAGCAAATCAATAGAAAGTCAGTAAATGATGGAGCCCGTTATGAAGTGACAGAGGTTAGTGTTTGATTTTATTTGAGCTATTGAGGACCTACCATAGGGAGATAATACTATACATTTTGTAAATCATATTTCAGGTATATATCACCCAGAAACAGTGGGGTTGGTAAGAAATGAAGTGGGTGGGCGGGGGGAGAATGGCTGAACTGTATTTGTTTTTCTTTTTTAATTCATAATGTAAAATTTAATCACAAATTACATACAATATTACATATTTTTTTTACATAGGCATCAAAAGAAGCAGTGTCTTGTCAGTTTGAATACCAAACATTAAAAACATACACACACAGTATACAGTACATGGAAATACAGCAACACTAATTGTACAGTATTAAAGTCAACTCTTCTCATTCAGTTGTTAAAAACAAAATTGTGAACATGTCAGCTTATCCATAGGCTAGAACCCTGCTATTCAAACTACTGTATAAGTCGCACACAAAATAGGATCACCAATATTTTGTAGGGTCACCGGACGTTTATGTGCAATTTTTGCGACAATAGCAGTAGGAACTTTATTCGGTGTCTGACACAGGCAAGTGGGTCAAGTGGGTAATAATTATAGCTAGTATTTTATACCACATCATGCAAAGAAGGCTTCTGTGCTTTTCGCATTATTACCTAGTTGTGAATCAAACACCTAATGCCTTGGTATTCAAACAATCGTCACAGAATAATTAAATACTCCTTCTTTGTCTGATTATACAGTTACTGACCCCTTAACCATTTAGGCGTTTTTAATAGAAATATAAACAGTTTCCATAAAGAAAACAGTGGGTTGCTGGGTTCCCAAGTTATCTATGCTGATATATAGGGTCGCCATATCAAAAGGTTTGAATACCAGCAGGCTAGATATTACTGTCCCAATCAAACAATTTTTGAATACCATTCTAAGGCAAAACAATGCATCTTCAAAAATACGTAATTTTGCCTTTTAATATTTCAGTTATGATGTTTTACACAACCATGCAGAAACGTTTAATATGATGTAAGTTACATCGTCTTGCTTCGAGAGGGCGTTTTTATTTCATTCTTCCATTATTATTTATTCAAGGAACTGCCTGAAGACCCTGGTCCACCGAGGGATGAGTTTGTCCAGAACCCTGCAGTCCTTCGCGAGAAACGTGAACAGAGGTACCAGCAACGGCAAAAGGAGAAAAGCAAGACCAGACAAGACAACTTAAAGGGCAAACCGAAAGGTCAGGGACAGGACAACAGCACAGTGCAAGCAAGGCGACGCAAAGAAGCAAACAAGTCACAGAGGTCAAACCACAATAGGAAAGCCATGGCAAGCAAAAAGATGGCCAAAGGCATGTGATCATAAGAACTTGTATTTATATTAAAATGATTCAACTCAAATAACAAAATCTCAAACAGTAATAAAAATATATTTTTATGAATTTAGTTCATCCATCCAAATAGGATGGATGATGGTGTATGTCACAATATATAATTAGTACCATTTTATTATTACCGGTTTTTAATATTGATTGCGTATACCGGTATGTGCAGGTAATCCTATATCACTCCTGGAGAAATAAAGTTTTTGCAGTAACCTGGTCAACTTCTCAGCCTTTTAGGCAACATATACACGCCTAAAATTCTCCCTTACCTATAGCAAGGAACAGCACAAACATTTTAATATCTGAATAAAGCAACAACCAGGAATATAATTTATTTACTTGTTCCTTGTTCCACTATCATGTTGAAGACACTGGCTATCATTGACAATGAGAATGGTTAACATATTAACCATTTAACAAAGTTTGGGCCACCATTTTCTCTTACAACTTTACGTCTGCGATACTGATGCAGTTCAGCAATCATACCATTGGTCATTTAACAAAGTATAGTGGTGTTGATCAGAATTAGAGAAGCTAGTCTACCTTAATAAATTATGTGTTTTTGTAGCGCTATACAGCAGTGAATTATTTCTGGGTACCATTGCATCTGTTCTCTTTTCTTGAACAACAATTTCTGTTGCTCCCACAACATCCTGGCTGCTGAGCCAAGCCAAACTATTGTCTTGAAAACATATCAAGAAATGTATAACGAAAACAAAAATACAAAGTAAAAAGGCTATGCACCAACTACTGTATAGTCATAAAAAAAAAAAAAAAAAAAAAAAAAAAAAAAGATAAAAAAAAAAAACCAAAAAAAAAAAAAAAAAAAACAACTTTGTACAGTAGAACCCCTATTAAGGGGACACTTCGGGTCCAAAAAAAGTGTCCCCTGAATAGCTATTTAGGGGACGTCACTAAACAAGAACGTGAAATCGTCCCATTAATAGGGGTTTTTGGCATGTTTTCATTATGCAGTGACATACAATTCTTTATAATTTTATTTTTATTGACATTAATAGGGGTGTCCCTTTAATAGGGTTTGGCCAAGTGTTAAAAGATATCGCCCCTCGTTTCACAGAGGGGTGTCCCCTGAATAGGGGTGTCCCAAAGGAGGAGTTCTACTGTACAGTATTTTCAGTGATCTTTTGTCAAAGCCGCCTTTTTTTCAATCCCGAACTTCGGACCACCTTCCTCTTTCAAGTACGTATTCACAATTTCTTCCAATCACATTCCACCCGTCATTGGCTGTTACCCAAACTGATCCATATTTTTTATCTGGGCCATTTTCGTTACATTACCCCCTCCCCCACCACCATAAAATACTGAGTTACAACCGGTTATTATAAAATACATTTTAAACTTTAAATATTAATTCTCTTTAAGGAATTAAACAGAAACTGTGCAGTAAATTTAATTCAGTTGAACTATATTTTTTTTAATAAGTTGTAAATATTAATTCTCTTTAAGGAATTAAACAGAAACTGTGCAGTAAATTTAATTCAGTTGAACTATATTTTTTTATATAACTCGGCCATGTATTACTGAACATAAATTACTGTATATGTAGAAAATACAACATAGGGCTATCTGTTTTAACAGTCACATGGTAATTGTAATGGTAGGTTATTTGTAGAGCGCCTTCCACAATAAAATCGTCTCAAGGCACATGTCCGTGTCTTCTTCGTAGATCTTCGCCTCCACTAATTTACTCACCAGCTTGCCACCTTTTAAATGTACCGCGGTGATTTTCTGTTCCTGAACTAATTTTCGTTTTGTCCCTTTTTCGGCTGTCATTGATCTCACTTCACCATCTGGTGCCTCATCCTCGGTCGAATCCTCCTATTGTGACTTTGGGTCAGTTATACAAATTTGTTTACCAATGCTTGTGGTTCACAGTCCGGAAGGATAGAGCTCAAATAAAGCATAGATGTCTTGTCCTATACAAATTCTTGTGGTAAGTTCACTGAAACCAATCGTTTTTTGGAATGCAACCAGACAGGACGATTCTTATCAGGCCCTTTAGTTTTTTTTTTTTTTATGTTATTTCGAATTAAGTACATGGTGTTTCTTGTTCCCAACAAACAGGCCAAGATTGTAGCGTGTCACACATAACAGAAGTGGTGATGCATTCGATAGCGATTCATGGCCAATTCTCCTTTTTATGTATCTTGGGTAGACAATATAACCTTGATGTGATTTCAGCAGTTTGGAAACAATGTGTTCTTTTGTTTGTTATCTTGTCATCTCTTTTTAGAATATTAAATACAGAAAATTTCAGTTTTTACTTTTTGAGTTAGGCCGTCTTTTAGGAGTTGGGTGGCATTTAAATTTCACTTTGTTAATATACAGTAGTCAGTCTTGTTAAAATGATGTGAATGATGTGAAGAGCTTGATATGTCAGAAGACTTCAGGGCAAGGCACATGGAGGCAATTGCGATTTCTTCAAGTTCTATCAAACTAAAAGTTGTATCATAATCATGCATACAGTATCATGAATTACATAACCATAACGTTGTAAGTCGATAAGGAAGTTGTAAACGTAATCCTTTGTGGGTTCTGCAAATTTATGGTCTGTACTTTTCCCATGGATCTGAGGAAGTAATAATTACAATTGTTATAATTGTTAACGTAAAGTAATCCAGTAATTCGTATTCTTCATTTTTGTCTGGTATATTCTGAGATATTGTTTGATGTTTTAAAAGGTTGACGGTTCTTCTAGCCCCCGGATCTAGCGTTACCAGTAATTCATATACTCATAGGTTCAGGGATGTGGGCCTGGTATCATCGGATGTCTACCATTTCAAGTTTCACATTTCATCCTATATCTACACTCTTTGTACCTATGTCCACGACCAGTTTCCATTCTTTCCTTTCATTTCACCCGTTGATGAACAGCACTGGTCGCATTTCATAGACTGGTGTTTCCCTTATACATAATGCGCAAGTAGTCATTTCTATTGTTTGATGAACTTGTCGGGGTATCAATCAAATTTGCTTCTTTGGATCTTTCACTTTATAAACTTGCATACAACTTAGAAGCTTGGGAATTCAAGATGTTTTTGCATGATTCTCCTCCATTTGTTTTTAAGTTAAGTTGGCAATTTTCTGATGATCTTGTCACGTTCTTGTTTGTAGTCTGAGACCTAGGTCTGGTATCCTCTTCGGCAAATAACTCATTCAGAAAATTGCAGAAATTCCTCAGTCTACTTGAATCTCGTGCACCAAACTTTGGCTAATCATTCAGCTTTGTGAGGAATGCTCTGCTTATCACATAATTGTTACCATATCTCGATTTAAGTTCTTTACGAGCAAGTTGATATGCACCTTCGTCTTGAAGCAACATGTAACTGCTCACAATGTCACAAGGCTCACCAACCAAATACTGGCTCAGTAGGTTCATCTCTCCTGCTGAGAGTATCAGGCTGTTGAATACTGTCTCACACATGGGGTACTTCAGAGGGTCTCCATTAAAACTTGCACGAGTCGATCAATTGCTTAATTGACTTTGGATTGATCTCGCTGGAATTAACGGCAGTCAAAAAACTGTAGTATAAAATCATGTAGTCATTTTTAAATATTGTTTTTATGAATTTTTTATTACCATAAAGTATTAAATTTTCCTTGCCAAATCAAGCAAAAGATGACGACACATCTTCATTAACTGCTGGGAGGCAAAGTGTTCAGGAACCTTCTAACACCTTCGCCAGACCTACATCTTGAAGATCATCATCCTCGATCAAAGATTCTCATTTGCTGTTTACATCTCGATATATCTATCTCTTCACTGTTGACCATCACTATCTCGTTTAAATGTAACTCGACACTTGCATCGCTTACGTAATTCATCCCCGTTTCGTTTATCATCTTTTCTATGTTTGAACTATTAAAAGTTACATAAGAGCTTACACTGATTCCATTGGTAGTCATTTTCATTTGAAGTCGATTCACATTATACATATTCACAAAGTTTTGTAGACCTTTCAATTAAAAATTTTGAACTCTACAGATATTTCAGATGGATAGACAGGCTAAATAAGTATAATAAGTTTATAAAATCTGATTAATTTAGGGCATTACAGTTGGGGCATGCTATTGTCTCAAATAATATCCAAGTTGTTCAGGTGCAAGGGGTTTTCCCCCCACATTTTTCCCTTACATCCTGCTGGCAAAGCTTGGGTCGCCACTTTAAAGGGAAACTGCTTTAAAACACCACTCAAACAATTTGTAATAAGCTATACACTAAGACTCTAAAACAATTATTATTATTATTTATAAGTTGGCAATTATTTTATCATTATTTGCAGTCAAAATAATGTAGTATAAAATCATGTAGTCATTTTTAATATTGTTATATATTAATTTTTATTACCATTTAAATATTAAATTTTCCTTGTCAAATCAAGCAAACGATGAGACAAAACAATACTTTTTTTTTTATTCGATGTTGATAACTGCACCAACATATAAATGATACTGGTAATGTGTATTTTGCATTCAAAATCATGTTTTATAATTTGCTGTGTTTTCCAGAAATGACAGCATTGTTTAAATATATGAATTAGAGTACTGTCAGTATATTAAAATTCTACTTAAAGGTACTGTACTTAAAAAATCACTGCTCTTTCTAAAATTTGAATACAAACAATGGTTACTACATGAAGCAGGGGCAGCACCAGGAACAAACCGACAAGGGGTCCAAGCTCCCGGACAAGGGGTCCACCCCCCTCCTTATCCTGTTGGGAAGAGCTGGCGTCACCACTGCAACTCATAGCATCACAATAGTATACAATATCTTGCACACATAGTAGCTCTGCTCGCACTTAACCGTTTTTAATCCCTAAAATTTGATAGCTATGTAAGGCATGCTTACATTGTACTTTAGGTGCTCGAGATTTGATTTTTCCCTCATGACCTTACTGGAAATTTCCCTAAGGGGGGTCCTTTTCTCGCTTGGTTCCCAGCTAGTGCTGCCCCTGACATGAAGATCAGTATTTTAAGGAGTATACTTTACTACATTATTTTCATGTACAGTAGCATGATTTAGAAATTGACATGAAACTAATAAAATCAGTTGACATAAAAAAAGTGTCCATTTCAGTTTCCCTTCTTTCTATCAGCAGTATCCTCTTGTATAATTTTCCTTTCAGATTTTCTAAGCCACAAGGCAATGCATAGAATTATATGGCAGATATGTAGGCACAGGGAACTTGAATCTGTCGAGGGATATGTGTTCCATGAAAGTTCTATCAAACCAAGAACTAATATCCTGAAGGAGAACAAAAACAATACAATGGTTTTTATTTGATTCCACAGTAGTATCATACCGTAAAGCCAAAAATTCATAGTGATAGTATAAAAGTTTAATGTGTAGGGCAGCAGAGTTGAATTTAATAAATTACTCTCACTGCCTTCTGCAAGCACTTGAAGTGATTAAACAAGCAAAAAAAAAAGTGCCTCCAAAATACACAAACTTAAGCCACAACAGGAGATCTAAAACCACAACCTGAAGGTTTAAAGGTGTCTGAATCGCAACTGCTGTGACAACTCACTATCAGGTGTTATAAGCATACTTACTTGAATATAACAGGAAGATTTGTTATCCAGAGAAGGTAGTGTAATGTATGGAAATACCAAACATAAAACTGGTAATGAAGACTTCTACTGAATATCATACCAAGGAAATTGGATGTGAACATCGTCGTTACAATATGTAAGCAAATGTTAAGGTTATTTTACCAAAACTTCTTGTCATGGACACTATCATAAAACTATAAATAATATATTTTTTTAATTTTCTTCCTTTCATATCCTGGCATCCAACTGGATGGAATGATGTGTTATACAAGTCTTTTTATGAGGCTAGGGAGTGGAGCTGTTTTTAGTCATGAAAAAAAACAAAAACTCTGCTATGACAGATTCTGAAGGCAAGCATAACCACCAAATTAACGCCACTCCAATAATAATAATAATACTGAGTAAACCATGATTTTGTAATGGTCACGTACCAACAGCAAGTAAACTGCTATTTGCCAGAGAAGCTGTTAACATACAGTAATGGTGAATGTTAAGACATACTGTTCTACTTCAGTATATATGCGCGGTTAAGGCATTGGCGCAACAAAGTACAGCCATATATCGGCATTCTATCGAACGGCACGCTCACCCATGGTGGTGGAATAAGTCCTCGTGGATAGGGACTATAAACCGTAGGCCCAGTGTACACTTTCGAGAGGAGTAGAGAATTACCCTGGTGTACTGGTTCATTAAGTCACTGTTATGGACAAACGAGCAGTTGTTACCGGTTTACCGGGTAGACACAAGGAGACCCTTAGGGGAGAAGGAAGTTACTGCACGAGGTAGTCCACATCTCAAACGCTTTGAGACTTATAAAGCTGATAATGTTATGAAATTTTGATAATTATTAAAAGGATATAGTTGTCGTCAACAATGCTTTTACTCTCAGCTGGTTTGATAAGAAGTTCTAAGATATTTTTCCTCCTGTGAAACAAAGAAAAATACAATGCGGTATAATGATGATAATATTATAAATCTTTTCAGAGGTAAGAAAAATATGCATTTGGTAAGTAACTGTATATAGTCACATACCCCAGTACACCTGATGAACTTGTGAAAAAATATTGTCATGATAGTGCTACATCTCAATGGTTTACATAGTTATTCCAGATTTTATTGGGCGCTTAATTGAATAAAATATTAGTGACATTCTTGTAAATCCACTGCAAACCCATATACATTAGAAGAGGCTTTGCTTAGATCGATAGTCACGATAGTGGTACGTTTAGACAGGCGTTGGGTGTGAACTCGCATCTTTGGTGCCCTGAGTCCCCTGTTGGACGTGAACATGTGTCTCTGGCAGGGAACGTGTTAAAGCATTACAAACCTATTCCAGCGATAAAGACCAAACAGAATGAGAGCTGTGAGATGGCATGCTAGCAGTGTCAGTTGGAAGTTTCGGTTTAAGAACACTTCTTCTGGTAGAAAGCGCCAATTAACTGTCCACTTAAAGAAAAACTGACGACTAAGTTCAAATGATCGCAACAGATATCCAATGGGGTTGACTCGTAGGAAAGGTATAGCTAAGGCAACCTGTAAAATACGATATAATTTACAGTGAATATAAAGAAATTAATTATAACAGCATAAAGTAAATTGCTATGTTTATACAATTTGTTAAAAATGGTTTTTAGCTGCAGAATTTTCAACAAGCAAAAACAAAACTGGAATATCAAGTATAAAAGAATTTTTTAAGGTGATATATGTCTGATGTACTTTTATGTTGTTTAACTATCTGAATATTTAAAAGGTTTATTTTTTTCGTAGTTAGGCTTAGTAGAAAGTGTAGTTTTAATTCTAAGTTTTAGTGCTTTCTAGATTTTAACATACAGTAAAGTCCTAAATACAGTATTATAATTATACAATTGAAGATTTTCATTATCAAGCATGTGCCATCTTACATTAACAAGAGACAACGTACCTGTACAGCAGCGCACACCAATAGCCTTGGAATTGTTCGCAAGAAACCATACTCAGTGAGAAGCAGCAGAAGTAGAGCCGGAGCAAAGAGCAACACATTCATTTTAATGGAAACAGCAATACTACAAATTCAAGAAATGACAAACATTTGAAAATATTAAAGACAGTCCCATGTTCAGCAGCGTGCGACAGGTGCCTACCCACACCCTTAGCTCCTCCCCCTCCCCCCAAAAAACTGAAATATATCCACACTTTTACAGTTTTATATCTAGGAGTCCTGAAATAGGGGATGGGGGTGCTAGCACACAAATTAAGCTGATGAAGATTTTTAACTACCTGAGAATAATATTTTGATTTTAAACACTACTGTACATTACTATGATATAGTATTGCAAACAACAAGGCTTCTAGGAATTATACTTTTAAATAATTGATAATTGAAACAATAATTGATATTAAAATACTGCTATTGCTAGGTGCCTATTCATTAACATAGAATTATTGAAATATAAGAAGTAATAAATTGATAATCAATCATCTACAACTTATCCTAAATTCATGTTGCAAACAATCTGTCCCCTTAAATATAGGAAGAGTCTGTAAGTGACATTTCATTATTTAACAAACAAATATTGAAAATCATTTTTTATAATTCTTGAAAATAACCAGGAAAAAATGGATTCATAATACATTATGGGAATAGGCCTATTTAGTTCTTGAAGTTAATAAAAGTTTGATACACTTATATTTGTAATAGTAGTATAGAAATCTGCAATTTCCCTGAATTTAAAAAAAAAGGAAGTGCCACCCAAGTTGACGAACTGCTAATAACTCAAAAGTCATTAATATATTAACCATTAAAATCGAAATCAATCTGAGTGGAAAAAGTTGGGTAAAAGTTGGATGCACTGATATCAACATTGCCTACAGTTAACAGATAATGATGTCATAATCATTGTGCGTTCTCACCTGTAGAAAAAACAACCTATCGTCCAATGGCGATCAAGAAACAGATTTATTGACAAGTAAAGGAACAACATAGCTACCGGATCATTGAACAGACGAAGTATATAAATGGAATGTATACGATAGGAAGCACAACACATGAAAAAAAGCACATATGGAGGAACCTGAAAGTAATAAATGTAATTAATATTAAAATGTTTATTTCTGATACTCAAAATAAATACAGTAAAACATTGAACAGAAGCCCAATGTGCTTATAATCTCTAGAAGAATCCCATCTCGAATTGAAGCCCCTCTCTTTAATTTTCGAAAGTAACCTCAAAAAGAAGCCCATGGGCTTTTATTTTCAAGATAACATGGGCTTTTCCCCGATATAGTACAGTACATACACTGTACATGAATTTCAAAGAAACAATTTAAATTAAAAACTTGCTAGGTTTATACAGGAATTTAGGTGATTTAATGCTGATTAATACACTCCATGATACAGATTGACGTTACAGTGGCCCTATTTATTGTTTTATTATATAGTAATTTCCAAAATTTACAGCATTCATTTTGAAAAGAAGGCCACCCATCTTTACTTTGCAAAAGTTGCCTCGAAAAGAAGCCCATCCAATGTTTGCAAAAAAACACCCAGGGCTTAAAATTCAAGGTTTTACAGTACTTGAACAGTAGGCTCAGTATGAGACTAATTGTCAGACAGCAATACTTGTGTTCTCCAAAAGGTAAGTTCATAAATAAATATTCATTTTTGGGAGGCCAACCGACAGCTGTCATTAATGGCCATTTTAGCTAAGCCCTGCCCCTTAGATATACTGTTGCTAAGGTCCCACAAAACAATAGCGTAACTGTATGTAAAATATGTGCGTTTGTGGAACAACATGTGTGTTTGTAGATACACACGCGTATTGGACCTGTACTGATTGGTCAGGTTGTTAGATTGATTGACACTCCAGTAGGGTCCATTACACAGGACCGCAATATCACATGGTTATTTAAAGCTGAATGACAAGAGAAAAAAAAAACTGTCTTACAAAAAAAAAATGAAAATGACCTTTGCCCATGGTAGTAGTGGAGTATCTAGCAGTACTGACCATAAATGGGGGTAGTGGTGAATGCATGCACGAATTTTCAGTAAGGGATTAAGGATAAATCACAGTAACAAAGTGATGGGGCAGGGGGTATGCATCACACACTCCTAGATAGACCACTGGGAGATGGAAAATATCTAATTAGATATACAGTATGTACTCTAGTTATTTTAGACACACACAAAAAAAAAAAAAAAAACATCAAATTTTATTTGCATCACTTATTTTACCTTTTTTGTTCGTTGGTAAATTCTGAAAACCAGCAAGAGATTCACCATATAAACAACAGCAAAGAGGTACTGAGCAACCCTGATGTTGGTACCAAGATCCGTAGCATAATAAAAACCAATAAAGATGTATACAAATCCTGCTGGATACCTGCAATCAGAATGAGAAAAAGAAAAAATAATGTGCTGACTCTTTCAGGACGCGACACAGGCAGATTTATAACAAAATAATGAAACTAAGGATTCATGTGCCCTTAACTTCATGTAAGTAGTGGATATTATAGCTTGATAGTTAAGGTGCTTACCTTAAAATCCCAGGGTCCTGGGTTCATATTCTGTGACACTGACAGCACAGGATTTTTTTCTTAGGACTGAAAAAACATCTCCCCTCCCTAAGCCTCGTAATTTATTTATTTTATTTATTTGTTCATTCTTTCGACTGGATAGCATTTTCAGTACCGCAGTACTGCTTTTCAAAATGGTCCAGTTTTTTTTAACAAAGTTAAGAATATAAACAGAAGCAAAGTATTAAACAGAACAAAAAAAGTATCAAAAATACAAGAGAAAAGAAAAAAAGAAAAACCCAAATTAAACAAGGCACGAAAAATGACAAAAAGTTAAAATTCAATTTAAAGTAAATTAGCACAAATGAGACTTCACTGATAAAGCACCACATTGTTTAATTTTTTTAAGAGGTGAGGGAGGGGGGAGGGGAAGGAGAGTGGGGTCACAGAAAAGATTATTTTCTGCACTCTTAAGCTTTTATCCCGATTATTCAAATTTTCTTTCACAAAAAACTGTTGTATGCCCATATATAGTCATGAGTTGCCTATATATGGTCGTGATGTGATGTCATCATGACCATATTTAGTTATGTCACATGCTTCTGTCAAATAAAATTTGATAGTCTCTGGACAGAGCGAGCTTAGGTCTTACATTTCCCGCGGCTACCATACTTACACAAGCGGACCTGTGCCGCCTTTCAGCTCCATATAGTCATAGGTGCCATTGATAACGCCTTCTACCTCCTGCATGTATGCCTGCCAGTCAATTTCAGTATCTAAGAAAAAACATAAAGTCAAGTAAATTCTACAATCTCAAATTAGTTGTGGTAATATTAATGCAGGAATTAAAAAAAAAAAAATTGCAGCATCGTTTATTTCAATAGCATAAAAAAAAAATGCAATTTGTGAATGGAAATATATTTTCTTTAAATGAAAATAATATTAAACCATTTTTTTGTAAAATATTTACAATATATTTGCCAAATATATAACTGTCCCGCAGGGGTGGCGCCAGGACCTGCCCGATGGAGGGGCTAAAGGCCCTGACGGGGGGGCTAGTGGAGCGAATCGAGTCTCACTTGGCTGGGGGCCAGGGGGGCCGCCTAGGGCCCCCGGTGGGGGTCCAAGGTTCGAAGCCCACTGGAAGCCACGGATATTTGATGAATTATGGCGAATTTTTATTACTTATGTGATAGGCATCGAGTTACTATAATATGACTTCATGTAGGCTATGTTGACATCAGCTTCCAAAACCAAAACATTTTGAATAAAGCAAGAAACAAAGAGTATGCAATGTAACCATCTAATTTATTTTCAAATCCTCATTCTTGAAAGTGAATTTCTATATTTTGGAAATTTTGCATGAAATCTGTCAACCACGTTGTCATGGTCGAGGTTGCTTCACCTATCACGATGTATTCCAACCATCATGAGGCTATCTAAATGAGCATTTGTCATAACAGAATTCAAATTATTTTTAATTAGTCTCATTGAATTATTATTATTAATTATTATTATTATTGTTATTGTGGTTATTGTTGTGATGAAAAGTTAACACAAACGATATGGTGGCTAAACGAATATTACATGTAAATATTTTTTTTTATTTGTTTGTTCCCCGACAAAATTTATCGTCTTTTCCGACGGGGGGAGGGGGCTATAGCCCCCAGCCCCCCTTTGGCGCCACCCCTGCTGTCCTGCCCTCATCGATTAAAAAAAAGCGGCAATATTCTATTGCTTCATGGGATTAGGAGTTTTAAAAAAACCAAAAAAAAAAAAACCGCCCACCTGCATAAAAAAAAAATGAGTGATGTACATCTAATAATTTTTTCTATGTGCCCATATCGCCCTTATTTATCTGCAGAATATTAATAACTAAAAATCTTGATGTGCATCTTATTCTTACTGCTACTCTTCTTAAACCATCTAATCATGTAGACAGGCTTGCAGCTAAAGCAAACTCTATGATTTCTAATATGAAACACTTTACCTTTATGAATGTTCTTCTGCACTTCAAGTCAAGTTTGCAAACTGAGTCTTGTGCAGATCTTCTTGCACAGTTTTCATACTGTGCAAAGAAATCCTTGCACAATTTTCAAATGGTGTAAAGGAAGAGCTTGCAAAATTTGCAAATTG